GGGTGCTTTTTCTGCTTTTCTCCGTTCTCGCTGCATGGCATTTGCATAGAAAAATTCAAATTAAGCGAAAATGTGCAAAATACTGTGAATGTATCTCAGTGCGTCTCCCTCCCCCGCCCATATGACTGTCTCTTTCGCTCCCGCTCCCCCCAATTATTTGGTCAGGCAAATGCAACAAATGAATGGTCAAATAAGAGCTGCACAAAGAAATGGCCAGCTGGAAATGAGCAGCCGAAGCAAAGCAGTTGACAGAGAAGGAGATAACATGGCGCGAGCGGGACGGGGCATGGACTAGAGCGAGATGGCCTGAGATAAATAGCGCAGTCGAGTGCCTAAAGTGTTCGTCTAATGACAAAGCAAATTGTGTGCATTTGCTGGCACAACAGCAGTGGCAACAGTAAAAAGTGCAACCGAACACAATGTAGCAACTTGAATTCGAATTGGGAAAGTTTAAAGTTTGCTGTAATTATCAAACTGCAATTTCGATTGAATAAGCCTCTTCCGTAAGCCAGCCACAAGTGCGAGTGGTGTATTCTCTCCCGCTTGCATGCTCTGTCCCTTTCGCCCTCGTCCTCTCACCCAGGACACGGCAAAAATAACAATCAACATCGCTTGAGTTGCATCTCGGCTAATTGTTGTTGCCGTTTGAGCTGCTTAATTAAGACGTCGACGACAGTAGCTCCTCTTCTGACCTTCTCTCTCCCACTACACTGCAAAATAAGTCACTGCGATTGCTCATATCTCAAAGTAAAGTAATTTGGCATTTTAACAACACATTTCTGAACTTGCGCTTCTACACAGGGCTTTAAAATTAAGATCGAACTAGGTTTCTTATTTTCCTATAAACGAAGTGCTGAAATATTATTTTCGGTGCCCTGTGCGTTTTTTACTCTGGCTATCCGCTTAACGTGCACGGCCTTTCATTGTTTTTATTTGCGTAGGCCAGCTCCGCAACCCCATGCACATCCTCATCCGCATCTGCATCCGCATCCGCATCTCCATCCGCAAGGCAAGTGTCTGATGCAAGGCATTTCAACGTTAACGGATATGTCATCGCTTTCTTTGGCCCTCGACCCGATTGAAGATTCAAAAGTGCCACTCAGCTCCTGTGGGAGTGGTATTGTAACTGCATCTGTTTGACACACTTCGAATTCAACCGTCGATGCAATTTCTTTTCGGGCTTATTCTTTTACAAGGTCCATCGCAGTTCAATCGCATTATCGCCACGGTTCCCTTATTATATCACTCATTTGCATAAAATCCGAAGCGGCTCAAATTGCATTTAGACCGAAAATCGGGCCAAAAAGCTACTGTGGCTTACACTGCTATTTAAAGGGGCTTAATATATCAATTTAGTATATGAAGTGAAAGATCAACTAATTGCTGAAAGTGGATAAGCACGATCTACAAAAGTGGGTCAACACCTACATTTTCCAAACAGTTTTTCGCAGCGCACTTAGACTGAAGGAGCCAAGCTGTATCAGCAGTTTTCCCCAGCTCGCTCTCTCTTACCGACCTTCCTTCACATGCCAGCACAATTGCCTTTGTCCATCTTGGCCGGTTGTCATCTGGCTTTTTTCGCATTTCCCTGTCTGCTGGCCGTTTTTGCCCAGCTCTCGATTCCGTTTGCATTACGTACCGGGCACTTGGTGCTCCGTTTTTCTGCGGCCTGCATTGTTCGAATGTAAATTCCGCTGGCTTGAGTCCGCTCAGAGTTTACGGTTCGAAGAACTAAATGTCAACAGTTTTCATAAATCTGCCACTGGTGGTGGACATCGTCAGCTCAGCTCGGGCTCCACCAGCCACGCCCCCAATACCCATTCCCATATCCATTTCCAGTCCCGTCGTCCGGAGTTCGGACTTGGTCTACTCAAAGTTATCTTAAGTGCTCCGAGTGGAAACTGTCAGCCGTTCTGTTCTGTGCTTGTTTGCTCGCTGTTTGTTTACTGCTAGCTGACTCTTGGTCAACTGTTTTTGACAAGCTCTTTAATATAAATCACTTTGCCGAATGGTTTTTCGAATTAAATTTTCAATTTTACCCAGAGCGATTCCCATGCTTTTCCTAAGCAGCTAAATGCTCTAGCCATGCATAAATCTGTGTGTCTTGGTGCTTGATGTCCTTTGCCAGCAAGTCGCTCTTATTATAACTTTGTTTTCAAGTTTTTCTTTATTTTTTATAAAGGTGTTATGGACGTACTAAATAGATAAAAAAAATTGTATCCTGTCCAAACAGTTTAGTGTCAATGAGGTTGATCGATCAGCTTAATGAGAATGATTTATACTTTTTTAAAGAAAATCAGCATTTTTAATTAATTGTTTTAGCCGAACCTTGGGAACTTAAGAATATTTCAAAATCAATGAGGGCTTGTTTTGCATACTCCGGAATTTCTTGGCAATTACTTTCCATTAGCTGGGCATTGTAATGCTAACCACAACTTTCAACTTTCGCTGCTTTTGGCCCAGCCGCCGAAAACACAATTTGGCCAAGGCTCGACCGAGGTGGCACTACAATGATATTTTATGGCACAGCATTAACTTGGCCATTGACAGGTCCAAGTCTACACCATTGTGTCTTGGCCAAAGCCAAAAGTGCCGTTGCTCGGAATTCGATTCCGGGAAACCAGTTCTCAACGACAGTGAACCATCCATTCCATGTCCATAAGATGTTTGTTTTTAATCGCGTCGAGCATCGATGGGGTTCACTGTGTTTTCACATTCCTAGAACATTGCCAAACATGAATCGTCAATGCAAATTAGTTGCGGAGTGACCCAAATCGGTTGGCCATAAAATTGGTCGAGAGGTCCAAAATCGGTTTAGTCGTAGCCAACGCCTAAAATATGTATTAGCTAGAATGAAGCTGCCACTGCTGCTGTTGCTAATCCAGTCTTGTGCCCTTGTGGCCAGAGGTAAGCCCCGGAACTAGTAGTGTTTAAGTGAAAGTACAGTGCACACTCACCCCCAACGAACCCGTTTCCGCAGCCACTCCTGCCAGGCACTGGCGTCGTGCACCCGCCCATGGAGTCTTCAATGTGGATGTCTATGCCTACAACAAGCCTCGGATGAACTTGGTCCGTCGCCAGGCCAGCGGGAGTCGATCCACTCAGGATGCTCCTCCACTGGATCACATGCTGCAGCAGATCTCCCACCACAGCAGACGATCCTCCGAGCAGAGGTCCCACTACAGGAACCTGGACGAGGACACGCAGGTCCTGCCGATGCCACTTGCCAGCGAGCTGAACAAAACAATTGAGAGCCCGGCCATAAACATGCAATTAATGCCTCTGCAAATGAACTCGGCATTGCACGCACGGGAGAATTTATACTCGAACGAGTTCCATGTGCAGAGTGTAGGGACCAAGAAGATAGTGCAATTGAATACCCTGACCAGCGACCATGAGCGTAAACCAGTCGTCGAAGAAGTTATGGCCCAGAAGCAGCAGGAGCAGGAGCAGGAGCAGGAGCCGCTGAAGGTGAAGCTGACACTGCCAGAGCTGCCCGAGAACAATGCAGAAGAAATCGAAGTCCTTCCTGGCAGGAGCAAAGTTGGAGAAGTAAACGCCGCGGGGACAGCTCCTGCGGGGGAATCGGTGACAAGTGTGAAGAAACCCATGGCCCCGAGTGAGACAATTATCGATAAGCCATCGACAGGAATGCAGCAGGTTGTCAGTCCGACGACAGAGGAGAATGCCGGTGACACTGGCACAATGGCCCAGTCCGGCCAGATAAAGAAGGACGAACCGAAAGCCAGGCCACCTCGTCCTAAGAGCAAGCGGAAGCAAAAGCCAACAGGAGCACCAACGTCTAATGAAACTGAAGTAAAGATGACAGCGAACCGAGTTGTCACTGCTCCAGTTCCTGGTGCTGTTCGTCCTGGAACTAACCCCATCAGGGGACCAGGCTCCGGCCCTTTAAATGCGAAGCAGCCGGCGAAGGAATTGGAAACACAATCACTATCGCCGGAAATCAGCACGCATCGTCCTTTGACAACGAAGAGTAGGGGCAACGGCAAAGGCAAAGGCAAGGGTAAGGGCAAGGATAAACGTCGCCAGGGCTCCCAGAGACGTCCTGCAATCGCTGGCGTAATGGAGGAGGAAATTGAAACTACGACAAATTGGTGGCAGATTCTCCCATATGCGGAAATTAGAAAATTTTTGAATACAATTTACGATACCATCGCCGATGATGGCGACGACGAACGTGCCACGCTTGATGTGTGACACCAGAGTATTCGTTTCGACTTCGTTGGACTTGGGGTTTATAGGGGTTCCCCTTTTAGTGTTTATGGAGGGTCCGACCTAGTGACGAATTGAATTTCCGCTAAGACTAAGCTTGAAGTACTGATCAAATAGCAAGTAAGTCCAGCTGTAACTTGATTAGATTCGATTGGAATAACTAGAAAGTAAAGAGAAAACAGAAAATAAAGATTTTTGAATCCATTAGAGGTGCTGTACAATAACTATCCAGCCACTTCATTGATTTCCCCACCTTTTACCAACTTTCCCTTTTGATGCAAATCTCTGCCCCCATTAATCATCATAACCATCATTTCACAGTCATCAAAGCCACCATTTAATGCGGCGTGATGGGTCAACAAAGATGACTTAATTAAAAGTCCCCCGATCAGAAACAATAACTCGGCTGGGCACTTAAAAACCCATCCATTCATATCTGAATAAACAAATAGAGAACTTCAGAGCCCAGTCGGCATACTTCTAGCCAAACAACGCGCAGACAGCTTAATGGGCATTAGACCCCAGACCTGTGGCATTGCGGGTTAAAGTTGAAAGTGGTCGAACGGCTTCCATGCTCAGGCCAAAGAGTTCACGGCAGGTAAAGCGTGAATCGAGTCGACATTAATGAGCTGCGAATTTTTTTATGACGGCGAAATGAATTTCACAGTCTGGCTGCCTGCGTCCAGTGAGTCAGCCTCAATAAATCTTGGCCGCTGATTGATTGAGCCTAATGAGAGATGATTATATAAGTGATTAAAGCACATTTATTCATTTCGGATATTTATTGAACGACCAGCAAGATAAATTTCTGTTTACTCGAGTGATTAAAAGTGGCTCGTCGCCAAAGTTTTCTTTTTCTCCTCAATCTGCGTCTGGACTTGGGCTCAATCTCTGCCAGAATAAACAGCTGTGCTCCACTGACTTTGTGGTTCAATTCAAACATTTTCTGACCAGCCGTTGGAAGTGGTGGTGCTCGGGTGGTGGTGCTTTCCATTGTCTGTGCAAGGGGCACACTGAATGCGTGGCCTTCGTAGAGATGCAGTTGCCAGTCACACAGATTCGGAGTCAGGCTGCACTTCACGGTGGAGTTGGACGCAATGAGATTCGCCTGGGTCACATTCATCTGACTGAGTTGCTGCAGTGCCTCATTTTGATGCACTGGGGCACCTTCGCACCAGCGCAAGAAAGCGCATAATTGGAGTACAATAATCCACGGGTTCGAGCGAAAGAACTGGACGGAGCTCATTTCAATTTCACCTACCACTTGTTCAGGAAGCCAAACTTGGACTGGTCTTACAAAAATTGATCAGGTGGAGTGGAGCAACTGAAACCAGTTTGCTTGAATAGGTCCGCTTGGAATGTTGTCATCTTTGTCATGTCAAATGATTTATCAATAAAGTTTATCTTCGGGTAATTTTTGACCTCAGGCAAATGAATGATGTGAATTTTTGCTATTACATTTGTGTATCTAAAATGTTTTTTTCCTGTAGACTGTGTATATATACTCGTATAAAAACAACTTGTTTTTCTTTCATAAATTATAAAGAAGAGTAAAATTGTTACCATCTTTTATTGAGGCTTATTTTAAGGAGTGTAATTTAAAGTCACAAACATTATTAATGGTTTCTACGTTTATTTTTTGAAGGATTTTCTTCTACTGCACTTATTAGGAGCAAAGGCCTTCCATTTTCATCCGACAATCTTACGAATTGAGCTTCTTCGGGCTTCGTGCACAGGCGCGGATAATAGAAGCAAAGAGAGGTGACTGAGTGGGGCACAGTTTCAATCGATAGCTTCTTTTCCGGATATAACACGTTACTGGACTTGTTTACTAGGTGCACTGATTTGCTAACTTGGCATATTGGAAGTTGAGGGAACGTTGAGCATATAGAAGGCTCTGTTGTTGGCTCCGTTGTTGTGTCTGTTGTAGAATCTGTTGCTTCAGCCGTTGTGGTTTCAATTGTTGGCACCGTGGTTGCAATGGTAGTTGTATCGGTTGGCGATTCTGTTGTTTCTTCAGTTGTTGCTTCAGTTGTTGTTTCTTCCGGCGGTTTTGTAGTCGTTGGTGGGTTTGTTGGTGGGTTTGTTGGTGGTTTTGTTGGTGGGTTTGTTGGTGCCTTTGTTGGTGGCCTCGTTGGAGGATTAGTTGGTCGATGTGTCGGTGGATGTATTGGTGGTTTGTTTGGTGGCACATAAGGTGGGTATGGGTAAAAAGGTGGCGGTGGGTAAGCCAAGGGATCATAGTATCCATGTAACGGTGGCCAAAAATCTTCAGGAACAGGTCGTTCTTTCTTTTTTTGATAACTGACATGGCCCGTGGTGGAGGTGGTGACTCTTTTTATAAGTCCTGCAACATCCCATATTGGAATCCGCACTTGAACCTGAAAGCCGGTGGCGCACGTGGAAAGCCAATTAGGTCCTGGTGCGGCCAGGCAGACCCAGATTATTAAACCTCCAAACAGCTTCATGATTGCAGAATACTGAGGTGGAGCGTTGTAGGTGTAGAGTCTTTATATATTCTATGATGTTCCATAGAAGTTGTGGATTAATAATTACTGACCGCTTTCAAATACGAGTATAAGATAAACAAATCGAGCTCTGTTCTTTATTTTACTTTCGGTAGTGATAAGCTCGAGATGTATCAGATGGCTCCACTAACGACATTAATTATTTACTACATGCTTGTCTTGGACGTAATCTTCGAATCTATCTTGTAATTGATTTTTTCTCAGTCATTACCTATTCGTGTCAGATTTGATTTTGCTGCATGGCTGTCTTCAACGATTTGAATCTGGAACGGATTCTTCTAGGTATGGATGGTACTGATAAAATAAACTAAAGCGTGTTAATCGGTTTTTTCTTAATAACCTAAATTCAATGAAAAGTTTAATATTATTTTATGGTTACATATTATATATGGCTACCATACAATAAATAATAAGAACAACCATTCTTACACTTTCCGTTTAATACGAATTTTTGTTCGCGTTTTGTAAAAATAAGTCAATTTCATCCGCATTTACTTAAAAATGCTACTTATTATTATGGGTTCTACTTATAGCACGCCACAAAGCAGGCAGCTTTTGAGAGTAAGCGGCTCGTCCCTCGAATGACGAAATCAACAATAAGGGTTTTCCATATTCATCGGCCAGACGTACAAATTGGGCCTCCTCCGGTTTCAAGCACAGGCGTGGATAAAAGTGGCACAGCGAAGTAACGGACTGAGGCATTGATGTAATCTGCAGTTTCTGCCACAGTTTCAGCGATTCTGTGGTTGGTGGAATAGCTGTGGATGTCGTTATACCGATTGTTGTGGACGTCGGAATTGCTGTGGAGGTTGACGCAGAGGACGTAGTCGTAAAGTCCGATGTGGAGGATGTTGGGATCGCAGTAGATGTTGTAGTACTTTCGGTTATTGTTGTGGGAGTTGAAGTACTTTCGGTTGATGTGGACGTTGGAATTGCCGTAGATGTTGTAGCTGAAGCAGTAGATGAACTTGTGGTGTACGAAGTAGTAGAGTCCGATGTTGAGGATGTTGGGATCGCGATTGATGTTGTAGTACTCGCAGTTGTTGTTGTGGTTGTTAAAGTACTTTCGGTTGATGTGGACGTGGGAATCGCTGTAGAGGTTGTCGTTAAATCTGATGTACTTGCAGTGGATGTAATCGAAGAGTCTGATGTGGAAGATGTTGGGATCGCGGTAGATGTTGTAGTACTTTCTTCTGTTTTTGTGGATGTTGAAGTACTTTCGGTTGTTGTGGATGCTGGAAATGCCGTAGATGTTGTAGTTGACGCAGTAGATGAACTTGTGGTATACGGAGTCGTAGAGTCCGATGTTGAGGATGATGAGATCGCGGTTGATGTTGTAGTACTCGCAGTTGTTGTTGTGGTTGTTGAAGTACTTTCGGTTGATGTGGACGTGGGAATCGCTGTAGAGGTTGTCGTTAAATCTGATGTACTTGCAGTGGATGTAATCGAAGAGTCTGATGTGGAAGATGTTGGGATCGCGGTAGATGTTGTAGTACTTTCTTCTGTTTTTGTGGATGTTGAAGTACTTTCGGTTGTTGTGGATGCTGGAAATGCCGTAGATGTTGTAGTTGACGCAGTAGATGAACTTGTGGTATACGGAGTCGTAGAGTCCGATGTTGAGGATGATGGGATCGCGGTTGATGTTGTAGTACTCGCAGTTGTTGTTGTGGTTGTTAAAGTACTTTCGGTTGATGTGGACGTCAGAATTGCTGTGGAAGTTGTGGTTGAATCTGATGTACTTGCAGTGGACGTAGTCGAAGGGTTGGATGTTGGTATGGCGGAGGTTGCTGTACTTGTTGATGTTTGACAGGATGGGAGATTAGGGAAGAATACACAAAGTGATGTGGATGTTGTGGTACTTTCCGTTGTTGTTGTGGACGTAGGGGTGGATGTGGATGTTGTCGTCGACTCCGTTGCCGAACTTGTAATCAACGTTGTCGTAGAGTCTGATGTTGGGATCTCAGTGGAAGTAGAAGTAGTTCCGGTTGTTGTGGACGTCGGAATTTCTGTTGAAGTTGTCGTTGAAGATAATGGACTTGCAGTGGATGTCGTAGGGTTGGATGTTGAGATGGTGGTGGATGTTGTAGTTGTTGATGTCTGACATGCTGGAAGATTAGGGTCGTCTACACAAAGTGAAATGGATGTTGTGGTACTTTCAGTTGTTGTTGTGGACGTAGGAGTGGATGTGGATGTTGTCGTTGACTCCGTTGACGAAATCGTAGTGGACGTTGTCGTAGAGTCCGATGTTGGGATCGCGGTGGAAGTTGAAGTAGTTCCGGTTGTTGTGGACGTCGGAATTTCTGTTGAAGTTGTCGTTGAAGATAATGGACTTGCAGTGGACGTAGTCGTAGGGTTTGATGTTGGGATGGCGGTGGATGTTGTAGTTGTTGATGTCTGACATGCTGGAAGATTAGGGTCGTCTACACAAGGTGTTGTGGATGTGGTGGTACTTTCAGTTGTTGTTGTGGACGTAGGGGTGGATGTGGATGTTGTCGTCGACTCCGTTGCCGAACTTGTAATCAACGTTGTCGTAGAGTCTGTTGTTGGGATCTCAGTGGAAGTTGAAGTAGTTCCGGTTGGTGTGGACGTCGGAATTGCTGTTGAAGTTGTCGTTGAAGATAATGGACTTGCAGTGGACGTAGTTGTAGGGTTGGTTGTTGGGAGGGCGGTGGATGTTTGAGTTGTTGATGTTTGACAGGCTGCGAGATTTGGGAAGACTACACAAAGTGATGTGGATGTTGTGGTACTTTCGGTTGTTGTTGTGGACGTGGGAATCGCAGTGGATGTTGTCGTCGACTCCGTTGACGAACTTGTAATGGACGTTGTCGTAGAGTCAGATGTTGGGATCGCGGTGGAAGTTGAAGTAGTACCGGTTGTTGTGGACGGCGGAATTGCTGTGGAAGTTGTCGTTGAATCTAATGGACTTGCAGTGGACGTAGTCGAAGGGTTGGATGTTGGTATGGCGGAGGTTGCTGTACTTGTTGATGTTTGACAGGCTAGGAGATTAGGGAAGAATACACAAAGTGATGTGGATGTTGTGGAACTTTCGGTTGTTGTTGTGGACGTGGGAATCGCAGTAGATGTTGTCGTCGACTCCGTTGACGAACTTGTAATGGACGTTGTCGTAGAGTCCGATGTTGGGATCGCGGTGGAAGTTGAAGTAGTTCCGTCTGTTGTGGACGTCGGAATTGCTGTGGAAGTTGTGGTTGAATCTAATGAACTTGCAGTGGACGTAGTCGTAGGGTTGGATGTTGGGATGGCGGTGGATGTTGTATTTGTTGATGTCTGACATGCTGGAAGATTAGGGACGTCTACACAAGGTGATGTGGATGCTGTGGTACTTTCAGTTGTTGTTGTCGACGTGGGAATCGCAGTAGATGTTGTCGTCGACTCCGTTGACGAACTTGTAATGGACGTTGTCGTAGAGTCCGATGTTGGGATCGCGGTGGAACTTGAAGTAGTTCCGGTTGTTGTGGACGTCGGAATTACTGTTGAAGTTGTCGTTGAAGATAATGGACTTGCAGTGGACGTAGTTGTAGGGTTGGTTGTTGGGAGGGCGGTGGATGTTTTAGTTGTTGATGTTTGACAGCCTGGGAGATTTGGGAAGACTATACAAAGTGATGTGGATGTTGTGGTATTTTCCGTTGTTGTTGTGGACGTGGGAATCGCAGTAGATGTTGTCGTCGACTCCGTTGACGAACTTGTAGTGGACGTTGTCGTAGAGTCAGATGTTGGGATCGCGGTGGAAGTTGAAGTAGTTCCTGCTGTTGTAGACGTCGGAATTGCTGTGGAAGTTGTGGTTGAATCTAATGGACTTGCAGTGGACATAGTCGTCGGGTTGGATGTTGGGATGGCGGTGGATGTTGTAGTTATTGATATCTGACACGCTGGAAGATTAGGGTCGTCTACACAAGGTGATGTGGATGTTGTGGTACTTTCAGTTGTTGTTGTGGACGTAGGAATCGCAGTGGATGTTGTCATTGACTCCGTTGATGAACTTGTAATCGACGTTGTCGTAGAGTCCGATGTTGGGATCGCGGTGGAAGTTGAAGTAGTTCCGGCTGTTGTGGACGTCGGAATTGCTGTGGAAGTTGTGGTTGAATCTAATGGACTTGCAGTGGACGTAGTCGTAGGGTTGGATGTTGGGATGGCGGTGGATGTTTTAGTTGTGGATGTTTGACAGCCTGGGAGATTAGGGAAGAATACACAAAGTGATGTGGATGTTGTGGTACTTTCGGTTGTAGTTGTCGACGTGGGAATCGCAGTAGATGTTGTCGTCGACTCCGTTGACGAACTTGTAATCGACGTTGTCGTAGAGTCCGATGTTGGGATCGCGGTGGAAGTTGAAGTAGTTCCGGCTGTTGTGGACGTCGGAATTGCTGTGGAAGTTGTGGTTGAATCTAATGGACTTGCAGTGGACGTAGTCGTAGGGTTGGATGTTGGGATGGCGGTGGATGTTTTAGTTGTGGATGTTTGACAGCCTGGGAGATTAGGGAAGAATACACAAAGTGATGTGGATGTTGTGGTACTTTCGGTTGTTGTTGTCGACGTGGGAATCGCAGTAGATGTTGTCGTCGACTCCGTTGACGAACTTGTAATGGACGTTGTCGTAGAGTCCGATGTTGGGATCGCGGTGGAACTTGAAGTAGTTCCGGTTGTTGTGGACGTCGGAATTGCAGTGGAAGTTGTGGTTGAATCTAATGGACTTGCAGTGGACGTAGTCGTAGGGTTGGATGTTGGGATGGCGGTGGATGTTGTAGTTGTTGATATCTGACACGCTGGAAGATTAGGGTCGTCTACACAAGGTGATGTGGATGTGGTGGTACTTTCAGTTGTTGTTGTGGACGTAGGAATCGCAGTGGATGTTGTCATTGACTCCGTTGATGAACTTGTAATCGACGTTGTCGTAGAGTCCGATGTTGGGATCGCGGTGGAAGTTGAAGTAGTTCCGGTTGTTGTGGACGTCGGAATTGCTGTTGAAGTTGTCGTTGAATCTAATGGACTTGCAGTGGACGTAGTCGTAGGGTCCGATGTTGAGGATGTTGTAATTGTGGATATGGTAGTTGTTGATGTTTGACACGCTGGAAGTTGGGGAAAGACTGCACAAATCGGTGTTTCAGTTGTCGTCGAAATAACCGATGTCGTAGGAGGCTCTGTTGTCGTTGGAGCGATTGAAGTTGATGTCTGTGTGACTGACGGTGTTGTTGGAGCTTGGAATGGACCTGGATCATAAGACCCGAAAGGTCCGTACGGGCTATAATATCCATATGCATAACGGTCATAATTAGCTATGTTTTGGAATGCACTCGCCCAATAGCTATTATAATAGTTATTCAGATAATCGTTGTATTCGACATTCTGTTGATTGTTATTCTGCTGGTGAGATGGGCTTTGACTATTAGTGTTTTCTGAGTTGGTTCCGATTCCAGTGAGCCTTGAAAATATTGTGGAAGCATCCCACACTGGTATCTTTATCCTTATTGATTGGCCCCATGCCTGACTGACTAGAATGAGTAAAAAGCTGGTGGTATTTAATATCATTCCGAACTGGATTTAGCGGGCACTCTGGCTAGCCTAGTACTGAAATGTTAGAGACTAAGCACCTGGCGTTTTATACAGAAGACTGATGTCGTAAAATTAAATTTACAGCATATGCAAACAAAGGAATAGATAAAACTAATTTTATAAATTGAATGTCTTTTAGAATTCGTAAGATCATGCCTATGCTTAATAAAACTTCTAAGCTAACGGTCGATGCTCGGTGGCGCAAATGCTAATTAGTTCTTATAAGTACCTCTTACCCGCATTTATTATGTGGCTCTCATTTGTGTTGTGCTTTTAGTATGTGAAAAAACCATTCGCGGATTCTTGAATCAATTATGTAGCAAAAGAAGTCCATTAGTAGTGCGGCTAAATTTGTTTTGATTTTATTCAATAAATTAAATGTTGTTTGTGTGAAATACACCAAAGTTCGTTATCTATTTCTTTCCCTCGTAGTCGAAGTAAGGAGATGGAGGAGCCCTGCGGTAAATGTTGGGATATGGAATATATATAGGCTCAGACTGCGCCTCAGATGATGCCACTGCGGAGCCACGGACGTAGATCGGATTGGAACTGATGTGGTGCAGATCGTAGGGATTGACCAGAGGGCTGTGCACATAGCGGAAGGGCAGAGGAGTGGTTTGAATCCGCCTAGTCTGCACCGCCGTTGAAGTGGTGTCCGTGTCTGGGGGTGGCACAGCAGTGGAAGTGGATAGAGGTCCCGGTGGTGTGGGTTGGGTGGACACGGCGGTCGAGGTGGTATCGGATCCTGGAGGAGTACCCACTGCTGTGGAGGTGGATGGAGCAGCAGTAGATGTAGGAAGGGCGGTCGATGTCGTTGGAGCTCCCGTAGAAGTAGGAATGGCGGTCGATGTGGTTGGGGTTCCCGTAGAGGTAGGAATGGCCGTGGAGGTCGCAGGCGTGGGCAACGTAGTGATGGGAGCGGCAGTGGTCGAAGTCACTTGATTGTTGTTAAGGCTGGCTAAGTAAAGGCTATACAAATACGCGTTGTAAGCCGCCTGAGCTTCGTAGTACTGCTGCCATTGGCTGCTGTAATACTGATTCAGGTAAGCTTGGTACTCCGCTTGAGCATTGCTGTTGCTTGAGGAACCAGGACGTGAGCCACCTCCTCCACCTCCTCCTCCACCACCGAAAGCGCCACCACCGAAACCGCCACCACCGCCTCCTGTTAGGGCCGACACTATGCTTCCCACGGTGTATACAGGAAAGCTGATGGACTGACCCCAGGCTTGGCCAGTCAGCAGCAAAACCAATCCTATGGCTTTAAAGAACATTATGAAGAGAGTTCCTACGGTGCTCCGGTTAGTTCAGAACTAAAGTGAAGGCTCCATGATGCGCACAGTTTTATACAGTCCGTCGGCTGTCATAAATTGGATGGCGACTGAGACCTACATAGGATTGGCCTGAAACACGATCTTCAGATCAAAATTCGATATGGGCTTGGTGAAGACCCAAAGCAGTCATTTGAATTTTTATGGTTTTGGGCAGCGAATTCACAGAAGTGAACTGAAAGCGTATTTCACATAACTTAGAAGACTAATGGGCTATCATAATCAGCAAAGTTCTACATAATTGACCTACTGCAAGACAAAGCAATCTTACAAGCCATCTTTCCCTATGATTATTATTTTCTTTATCGATAATCACCGGTTAATAATAGTAATCTAGGCAACTCGATAATAATATGGCGTAGTGCCATATATAGGTCTATAGTAAACGTGTCTAGGTGGAGGTCTATAATAAAGGGCCGTGCTTTGCTGCGGATTCGGAGCCGGACGGTTGGTAGTCCGCTGCAGAATTTTATTAGCCGGCTGCTCGACATCATCCAAATCGTATTTGATGCGCGACCCGTTCTTGAAGTCTATGTAGTCAACGTCCTCATCGGTATCAACTCCATCGGCATCTTTTTCAACTGCAGGCTTTCGAGTGGTTGTACTGGCCTGAGCAATAAAGTCTGACAGAACAGCGGGCGAAAGTGTGGCGGATCCTGGCTGCTGTAAGCCCAGAAGAATTCCTTGCAGGAACTGCTCTCGTACCTCGTTGTTGGATTGCTCAGAGTTGGGTATCTCATCGGACTGGGGCTGCGTTATGATGGCACTGTTCGCAATGGCCGGTGTCTCATCTTGAGGTCTTAGGAGGGGTATCTGCGGCTGGCCTGCCGATAGCCCCAGAAGATATAGCCAGGGTAGCACTGTTCGAGTCTGCTCCTGCTCTGGGTTCACATCACTTGCATTTGCCAGAATGCTGGCCGCGGCCATTGAACACAGGAGAAATCCGATGTGTTTCATATCGAAACACGGTTGAGTCCAAACTAAGTTGGTCTGCGCATTGGGCTTACATATTTAGCAAATGTCTGTACCGCAAGATATAGAAATGCTAATTTGGGTTCATTAATAAGTGGGCGATCAGAGAAATCGATCGCGTCTCTCTTAGTTTTCTTTATTTTCGTTGCTCTGTTTATCTTTTTTATTTATTTACTGTCGCTCAATTTGAGCTGAATTAACAGAAAAGATATATTTGTGCTTTTAAGTGGGCCTGTTTCGTTATCAAATCTGATTTTATGTTTTGCTTTTGCACTGATGAGTATAAAATCTTTAATCTAAAGAAATGTACATGAAATTTCCGGTTTTAGATTCTATACTAAATGATATCATTGTACGATATTTTTTAGCCATAATATTGGTTGTAGGCGGCTTGAGCCAGATATAACTGCTGCTATTGATTGCTGTATTTATTAATGCTGCTGGATTGATGAGGATGAGAGTTAAGAGCGCTTCTTGAGATTTGAAGGACCAAATCTTGAAGATCTATACGCAATATAAAAAGTAGGCCGACTGTTTTAATCGATTTTTTATGTTTAATTTTTTAATTCATTTTATTTATATTTTTGTTTGGTCTTCATTTTTTTGTTGTTCATATTTTGTTATTCAGCAGAACCGCAAGAGATTTCGGGCCTGAAGCCAGCTCAATATTTTACGTATGCCGGGTTATACTAAAATAAAATAAAAATTAAAACCCATCAATTGAACTGTTATAGAGCTCGCTTACCAGCAAGTCATTCTCAAAAACCGGGATCCTGTAAGACTGCAAATTGGTCGTCTGGGATTGGGTGGTCAGCAGATTCCGTACCAAAATCCGGCGTGGAACACCCTGTCGCATAGCCTTAACTCGTGTCCCGGGCAAAACCACTGGAGTCGCAAAGGACCGATAGGCATTTCGGTATTGAGGCTCCTGGGAGACGTCGTTGAAGGCTCTGGAATTCAGGTTCACAAACTGGACATTTGGCTGGCGACCAAACAGAGACCTTAAGAAATTCCGAAGAGGAGTGTTGCCTGAATTTCCGTTGCTCAAGTTACTGACAAGTTGGAAATCCTGGCTGGTTGCGTTCGCACTGATCGTGAAATTCCGTTGAAATCCGTTGCGAAAGAAATGTCTTCCGTCGAGTACTTGAACCTGGGACGAGGACGGGTATATTACTTGTAAGCCCGGTGCTCCATAAACTTGGTAATCTTGTCCTGCAATCGTGTAAGCTTGGAGCAGCAGAGTGAGACCAATCAAAGTGGCTAACATGACGGAGAGCTTCGATACGCCTTCCTAGTTCCAGAGTTAAATTTCAGATTCTGCCAGGCAATGTTGGTTGCCAGCTCTTATATAATCAAGGGCAAACACTTATCTAAATTGTAATTAATGGATCGATATTTGGGGTCGAACGCTTATAAATTGAAGTCGATTTGGCTGCCCAAGAAATATATCCAGGTGTCATCTTGTATCTAGAAGACATATATTCTGACCACGAAAACCTTAAAGATAAAGTTTTTGCGGCAACTATTTGTAAGTGACCTCTCTCATGAAGAGAACGTTTACCTGTCCGCTTGGTAACCAAATGATGTATATGATAACATTTTTTCTCTTTAAAGTATCGCCCTCTATAGTTGTAAACAACTTTCTTTGGATCATTTATGTTTGACATGTTTTTATTGCGCGTATTTTCATCGGCACCAGTGAAGTTTATTCAAACATCTGCCACAAAGTAATAAAATAGACTTAATCGCTTTTGAGATGGACAGTTGGCTTTATGCCAACAAAAATGCTGAACCGTTAGCTGGCTAACCCATAATGCCGATCTCAAAAAAAAAGATAGCAACTTGTTGGGCGTGTTCTGAGCTGATTTAAATAGCTAAACTAATTTACATGCTAACTTGGCAGAAGCGGTGACTAGACATTTTCGCAAAAGATTGGACTTTTTACCAAAAAATCATTTGAAAACGTTTGAGAACTGGGTTAATGTTAAACGGAATGCCTTTCGCATTTCTTTGGACAATGTGGCAAGTATAAAAGCTCAGCTGATGGCATCTGTCAATCAGTTCAAAGTGAACACCCTCTCCATCATGAGCACCAAACTGGTACTCTTCCTGTGCGTGGCGCTCTGCGGAGCCATGGCAATGGCTGTTCCCATGAGGGAGAATCTTCAGGTGGAGGACAGCCAGGAGCTAACCAGCGTGGAGGAGAACGACGCCGAGACATATCCATCGACGTGGGGCAAGATCTTTGACGGCGAAGGCAGCGCGGGAAACCTCATCATCTCGTTCCCCCACACCACCAGTACCACCACCAAGAAGCCTAAAACGAGCAAGCGGCCGAGCTCCTCGTATCCATCCAAGTACCCGTCCTACTCGCCTTATCCACAATACTCACCGTATCCATACTCCGGCTTCTATGGACCTCCCCCACCACCGTATCCGTATCCATATCCGTATCCGTATCCCGGATTTGGCGGACATGGCGGACACGGCGGTCAAGGCGGACAAGGCGGACAGGGCGGACAAACCGGCGGACAAACCGGCGGACAAACCGGCGGACAAACCGGCGGACAAACCGGCGGACAAACCGGCGGACAAACCGGCGGACAAACCGGCGGACAAACCGGCGGACAAACCGGCGGACAAACCGGCGGACAAACCGGCGGACAAACCGGTGGACAAACCGGCGGACAAACCGGCGGACAAACCGGCGGACAAACGGGCGGACAAACCGGCGGACAAACCGGCGGACAAACCGGCGGACAAACCGGCGGACAAACGGGCGGACAAACCGGCGGACAAACCGGCGGACAAACCGGCGGACATTCCGGAGGACATTCCGGCGGCCATCACGGTGGAAATCCCGGGTTCCCATTCTACCCACCCTACTACCCGCCCTTCCCATACTACCCACCCCCACCACCACTACCACCACCGAGCGATGACTCCGGTGAATCCAGCGAGACTCCCACCAAGATCTGCAAGAAGATCCTCGGCATTGGACTCGTCTGCACGTAGTCGATAGATCTTTAAACCGACATTTAAAACCAGCTCAATATTTATTTATTCATAATTTATTAATCGAATAAACCAATTGGCAAACACTCAACTTGTTTCAGTGGGATTGAAAATGTTCTTTTTAAAAAACACTTTTCTCAAAAGAAACCAAGAGAACCATTTCCTATAAAGGGTAAGAGGTGCTTAAGACTTGCAACTGAATTGAAATATTAAAAGAATATATGCTCAATAAAACAACATTTTCATAGAGTTTACATCTCAAATGGCTTATTAAAGTTGATTGCAACTAAATTTTGAACATCAATGTAACATGCCCCGCGATATTTCACGCTTGTCAACTTGAAGACGTATTAATTTAGAATTATCCCACGGGATTTATTCGAATTGTTACAAAATCTGCATAAATATGGATAGGCTGTCAGTGGGTTCAACGTTTCGTGTCGCCACAGGTGCCGTCGAGATTGGTTCCTAATTGACAGCGACAGCCTCATTAACATGATTGTCAGCCAACGACGTATCTGAGTTTAAGCTTTTATTTGGCTGGCGATGAGTATTTTCCATTCCCCCGAGACATTCTTTACACATTCAAATTCCATTCAGTGGGCCAGCAAAGTGAGATGAAGTCGTAAGCAGGCCGGCTGATGACTTCATTGCCAGTTAAAGGTGGTCGCGCTCATTATAAAGATACAGATAAGGTTCGAACCTATTGTTCGTTGACGTCTGTCATCTAATAGTCGGCTTATTTATCGGGATCTTGTGCGCCGACTTTCTGGCGACACTAATTAAATGTCCGCCAGCCATTACCAAACCAAAACAGATCCCAGGCAGGACAAACAAAACATCCAGAAGATGGCGATAGAAGGGCCAGACTAGTTAACCAGTTCCACAGCTCCTCATCTCTCAGTGTTGCGTGTTCCGAAAATCGTAAATTTCGGATGTTGTTAAAAAAGTTTTGGCAGCGGCATAAATCTGCGGCCAACAGGACAACAGCTTCCACGGCGAAGTCAGTTCACTAACGAGCCAAAATCGTTCACTGGAAATCCTTGAGTACAGAAATAATGCCTATAAATATGCCGAAGCAGTTGTTGTCTGTGCCCGGCCGTGCCCTTTTGTGAGATTCAATTGAGTCAAAGGCAAAACTTTTGCCCAGCCATCCAACCAACCAGCCATTGGAAGGTCAACAGAGCAATTTGTTTTCCCGAATATGTTGTGGATAGAGCTCCGATGGAGGAGCAGTCCAGGCACCGAGGTGGCCCACAATTATGAGTGTTTGCGATGACTCGGGGCTATCCATCCATCCCTGCCAATCGAAGAATTATAGTTATGAAGTGCCCAGCACAGCCGGGCACAGCCTGATTGTTTAAACAATGTGCGTAATTACGAATTTCTATTGGCGAGTAGTAGGTATGGCAATTACACGCAGATTACCACGTAATTTATGAAATATGCAGGGACAAATAAAATACTATGAAACACGTACCTCGGACCCCATAAATAAGCCAACCAGCCAGCCAGGCTTAGCCAGCTGCCCATAAACTATACGTTTTCCGGGCTCGTTTCGCCTTTCAAATGTAAATATGTATATTGTATGTGTATGGCACCCTGGTGGCCATAGTATCTCGGCCAAGTGGCAGTTCCATCTTGACTGCGAACCACTCGTTTGAGCTTGGCAACCGACGGAAGTACTTGGAGCGGCGGAAATACAAATGAAGTTAGCCATATCAGTGGAGCTTACTTAGCCAGCATTTTTATGGCGTTTGGCATTGTTAGGAGAACTTTTCGGCTCAAAAGGAAAACTCAGGACTGGCGCATTTTATGCTCTTACAGGCAGTTATTAAAAATGTCCTCTTTCCAGAAGCCCCGAAACGTTCTTCAATTAAATGCCCTCCAAACCGGACATGGAACTTGCGGGCACAATTACAGAAATTATATACATTTATTTAAAACAAATTCGTTCGGCTGCACCAGTTTGCTCGGTTTATATATCCTATGTATGAATGTACGTTTGTATTTCAAATTTAATTTGCACTCAACAAATAAATCGACCGACTCTCCTTCAGCCAACCCTCATCTCATCTTGGCCATTGTTCCCGACAATAGACGTCTGCGTATGGCTTTTCACTTTAATTGTGTGAAATTATTTTGAAAAAGTGTTTCGCATTTCATTTTGTCCTCACCGCCGTTTTTGTTTTTTTAATGCTTTTTTGCTTCCAGTTTTTGTTAACGATTCGTTTAGCACAAGGCCATATTTATTTGAACGGCAGCCTTTTAATGTCGATTTTTATTGTGCGTTATATAGACACAAATTGCCTACCCAAATGAGACAGAGAAAAACAATTTATGGATACATATACGTTTTTCATAGATATATGCCCGGTATATCAACATGAAGATTGATCGAAAATCTCATCAAGTACAATTCAAATTTGGCCAGTGCTCTAAAAGGCAATTGAAGCTTTAATTATGCCCCAACGCCGAATGGCGAATAGGTGAACGTTAATTAATTTTGCCGCCCTGATCCAATCATCTTGTTATTCTCCCGCCCAAGGCAGTGTTTTATACACGTTGGCCATCCTTGTGGACCATTAGGCCTATTTTCGGTGGCCGAATTTGAGTCAAAAGTGATTGTAATGAGTTTTTGATATTCCCTCGTTGGCGTAAATTCCCCTTCTTTCTCTTCTTGTCAATTTGAAAAAAGCCTCCGCTCCTTCCAGCGTCGGAATGTCCAACATTCTGTCGAAATGTCAGGCTCGGCCACAGTTGGCTGTCAAATGGCAACAAGAATATACAGTTCTGCCAGTTGCTGTCGATGTAATCAAAATGTGGCCGAGAAATCAAAGTCATCTCGGATAAATACTGAATTAAGTATCAGCTGAATATCCTGCCGATGGGGTGGCAAATTAAAGGGCCGTTCAAGCCCATTGGCTTGAGAGCTCCACACCAAATGGTTTCTTACGCGAGACAATCGAGTATTTTAGAAAACACGGCGCTTTGGGGTTTTGTTTTTGCTCAGGACTCGTGGCACCGAAAACAAAAACCAAAGTGCGGCAAAGGCGCCAAAGCGAAAGGCACACACACACACACACACACATAGACTTGTGCACATCTAGCAGCACGCACACAAAAACACACTCAAGGTCCTTAATGCCGCGTGGTTTTCCTCTTCTTCACTTTCACTAGGGCCCTGCTGCTTCTTTTTTTAATTTCTTTAAGAGCTAAACAGAAATGGCGAAATAAGCATAATTTCAAGCGCCATAAAAACAAAGGCAGGAAAAAAATAAATTCACACAATTTGAAAAACGCAAACACTCAACACGCCAGCCAGGCCAGACTTCAGCTGCTCAGCTCCATATCTCCATAGCTCCAGCTCCATCGGCTGCTCCTTTTGTAACCTACACGCAAAGAAACAAAGTTACAAAAATGCTCTCCAATTTGGTGTACAATTTAACAGGTATGTTTGCCAGCTACTCTTAGTTGAATCTCGCACATTTTCTATGTAGCTTCATATATATTTCATATATTTCCTCTTTAATATCTAAAATTTGAATGAAGATATACTTTTTTCTGAGTGCAGACAGTGCTCCTGCAGCTGCTTAATGGCTTTCGCCCTCTGAGTGTAGGTGTAGGTGTAAGCGTGATGGTGTGTGCTTGTGTGTGGTTGATGGCCAACATTCTTGGTTTCCCTCCAAGTTTTGGATGAGAATGAATTAAAAAATGTTTACGACTCGACCGCTTGATTTTCAGCACATTGGTGAAATGGCTGGTCAAGAGAAAAGCGGAAAAATTCTGAAAACTGGATAACTGGAAAACTGAAACACAACAACAACGCAGCCAGTGCCATAACCAAAAGAATGCGCAAGGGCACACCTCTCCATTAAAGCCCAATCTGCTGCGAGGATACCAAACCGACCGAACGAAACCCAAACCATTGCAAGTGTGTAAGTGTTTGTGGTGACGGTTTTTGGGGCTACGCTCAAATTTCCCCATCAACTGGACAGCTGGGGTTCGGTAGCGGAAATTAATTGAATTGGCTACGGTTCGCTCTCAATTAGAAGTGTCTAAAAATATTTGAAGCCACTAAAAGACAACTCAAACAACCCACATGAAGTGGAATAAATTCGAGATAAATGTGGCAATTTTAATTATTATTTTTGAAGAATCTTAAGTGCGGCCCGAAAACCTCTCAATTGAATCAACTGCTCTTCAGTTTCGATCCAAATACTCAACAGTTTTTATTGTTTCGTGCTCATCGCTCAGCTTGCGACTTTCTTTTTACTTTCTAGCCGCCGTAAAGTTTTAATTATTTCATGGCACACTTGAGGGCAGCGGCCGAATGGCCAGCATGTGCGGTAAATGAGGCTAGAATTTCCAGCTAGGAAAACAATTCAATAATTGGCAATCAGAGGGGGAGATAAATGGGATAAGCCTGAAAATTAATATTGAGTAACTTCGATGGCTGCCACACGAACTCGATAAACAAGCTAATTAGTTTCTGCTCTTTGCCAATGAGATTGTAATTAGCGGTCTGCGCTACTGCGACTCTATGGGGTCCAAGTGAGTAAATGGATGCAGTGCTGCTGGCAGAACTCTGAGGCAAGGATGCTTAACAAAAGTACCCGCAACCAATAAACGGTCACATAGACCCACCATGCGTCCTATTGGAAGCCGCCCACTTTGCCCACAGAATGGTGAATCGTGTTGCAAGTGCAACTTAATTGAGCGAATTGGGCTGTTGGGGAATCGGGATAATCGGCTGGCTTAAAGGGGTGGCGCCTCCAAGACCGCCAAACAAAACGATACAAAATGCACCTCTATAAATTGCGAGGCCCACATGCCGCCCCCTGCGGCAGTTGACAAATTATTAGCGAGTTTTACGAGCCATGCGTGCGGCTTTGGCTTAAATTTATGCGGCATGCGGCGTTACAGGTAACTGCTCTTCAGTCTATTAAATCAGTGGCGGAAAAGAACTGAACGAATTATTTATGGCGCGCATTTAGGCA